CACACACACACACACACACACACACACACACACACACACACACACACACACACACACACACACACACAACCCAACACAAACAAACAAACAAACAAACAAACAAGCAAACAAACAAGCAAACAAACAACAAACAAACAAACACACATTTTTTAGCACTGCCAACACTGTGGGTATCGCAGGGTTTCGAACGTTGTTCACTTAGCAAGTTAGGACCAGAACGACAGCCAGTCGGTTTGATCCAACACATTAAGTCCGATGGAAGGATATGCATTTTCTTGATCCCTTTTAGCTCTTTGTGGTCACACATTCATGTGAAATCTCAGTTCACACACACACACACACACACACACACACACACACACACACAGAGAGAGCAATTAGAGGGCAGTGTTGAAACAGAAGCACATGGTGTGTATCGTGTGGCTGTCGAACGGACGGCGCAGAGTAGTCAAGTTGTAGCATTGTCGAGTTGTCAACTTGACACTTTTACGTGTTAACATTCATGTGAAATCTCGAATGTTAAAACTTAAAAGTTAAAACCTTGACACAAATAGTCCTCCAGAGTTCTAGAGTTGTCGAGTTCTAGACTTGTCGAGTTCTAGAGTGTCAGTTGCAAACAAACATCCACCGAGTCCATATCATTCTCAAAACCAAAACCCACTTAGTGAAATAGAAGTGAGACGGATTCTAGTTGGGGGGGACATGGCTTGAAATGGGCATGTGCCATGTGGCAGAGAAAGCACCTCTGGCATGATGAGCAAACGCGCTCGAAAACACACACGTTGGCGCTACAGGGGACCCTGAAAGGGTTGTAAACAGTGTACAACAAAATCTGAATGATATTCTGGTCTCCATACTAGAAGACTGGACTAGACTGTTAAAAAAAAGGGGAAACACGGCGAATTGGCCCACTCGGGAGTTGGAGACCTTCCCCCTTGGCCTCTTCATCAAGAGTGTGGGGTCCTGGAGAGGAGGAATGGTTGCTGCCAGGAATATAGGACATAACTGCACTGGGCTGAAGGAGGAGTGAAAAGTGTGGGGGAAAAAACTGCAACGCACAACTGGCCGTCAAACAGCAGCTCGTAACCAAAATACGGTTGCACGTTCTGAGCCTCTGCGAATCGGTCAGTTGGTCTATTGAGGATGAGGATTAGACAAACTATCTACCCACTGGCCTAGCTCAGTTGGTACACCCCTGAGCCGTCGAAGTACAGAACCGAATCCCGAGTGCACGGCGGGGCCTGACGCCCTAAAAAGCACGTCGGTCCGTAACTACTGCTGTGGACAATTTGGAAAAGGAAATGCAAAAAGACGGTAGACAACCAGCAGGCGCCGGTGGGAGAGGCCCGGAAGGGATTCATGCGGCTTCCAAGCGCACCTCCTGGTTGTAATTGCTCAATTGCTAGAAAAGCTGAGTACTTGACGGACTGGCAAAAGGAAAAGGAGGAGATAAAAAAGAATCGGGGCTGCGGTCCCAATAGGACATCAGGGACAACCAACTGGCCTACAGATCATTCCGTACACCCCCGAACTGAACTGTTGATGAAATACAGACTAGGTGCCGAGTTCGAACTCCACGGGAAGCAGATGAGTAAAATAGTACGACAGGGACATCAAGGACAAATTCGTGAAGAACACACTGGGGACAGGGAAGATTGCCAACTACTTGAAAGGGGCCAAAATGAAATTCAAATTGAAGGTTAATGATTTGGGAGATTGGGAGGGATTACCATCAGATAATAATAGAATAGATCCATCCCCCCTAGACTTTCGCCCCCACAAGTACATTACATTACATTATGTTACATGAAATTAATGAATGTATGACGGCCACGAAGTGGGGAGAGGCAGAATTCGAACCTACGTTAGAAAATTGAAATATAACCTTCAACAGATCTACAGTCCTATAGAATTCAACCACTGGGCCACCACTCTCCTAAAGAATTCAGCATCCTACAGGATTTGAACCTGTGACCTTCAGCTTACGAACAACACGCTTCAGGAAACAAACTGATGCAGAGTAAGAGTATACTCACACTAGGCCCCCCAATTCACAAAATCACAAAATGAGCGGCCAGATCGAGTCCTTCTTTTACAAGGGGGAACTCAATGTGGCTGCTGATTTTGCAATTTTGCGATTTTGAGGGCCTAGTGTGAGTATGCCCTAAGTCAGATGGAACGCTAGTTTTTTTTTTTTTTTTTTTTTTTTTTTTTTTTTTTT